TCGCTGGAGGTGCACGCATCCAGACAAACCCCGAGTACCGCTGGTTGAACATCTTTAACCGCCATGGCGACAGAGATCCATCGATCGTAGAACTCCCTGAGCGCCTCCCCTTCCCTCTGCCTCACCTTGAACAATGCGCCTATGGTCAATGTACGACGCTTCCGACTTGCGAACTTGGACAAGAATAACTCGGCGAATTGTTTAGAACACTCTATGCGCCCCTCTTCCACCTGATGATACCAATCCAGGACCACCCCCGCAAACGTGGATGGGAACACCTTACATAACGTCGCGTCCGAACTATTGTATAGTTGCATTTTTGTGAAGTAGCTGTTCAGATGATCTTCTGGGTCGGCCATCCCATCATAACTGGGCAATGGTGGGATCGTCGTTCCCGCGGGCTCCATTAGAATACTTCGGGCCAGGGGTTGACGAACGCCGAACCTCCTGGCTACCCTCCTAGGCGCCCACACGTCCTCAGGTTCCGCGTGATTATGCTCGACAGGCGGTCTCCAGGCGCGCGGACGTCCGGGCATAGCATGCTCCTGTTCGGTCTGGTGTGGTAGTCCGTGTTGCTGGGATACAGAATCTTCCCCCACCCTGTCTCGCTTCCTCCATCCGGGGCTGTACATCATCATGTCTTCACTTCGCTCCCCTTCCAATTCTCTCCTGAGCCCCGCTATGGCCCGATCTTGGTCAGCTATGATTCGAAATAACTCCCTCTTCGTTAAAGAATCTCCATCGTCTACTGATAGGCGCCCAGGGCTCTCCCGTTCCTCCACGTCCATGCTTACCTCGTGACTTCGCTGGCGCTCGCCCTCCTCCTGATTTGAGTTTCCCGACCTTGAGTTGTCTTCCCCGCCGTTCTCGTCATTAACGTTTTCCATGGGCCCCCCTATCTGGCGCGCCAATTGTTGAAGCCACGTCCCCTTCGAACCTGCTCCTTCGAACTATCGTACGATGCACCTCCCTACAGACGCCCAGATCCTGCACAGATAGACGCCTAAGGGCTTGGGGATGCCCGTTAGCACTCCAACGCTCAAGTCAGTCCTAAGTTTAGAGAGAGAAGTACTTTGGGGACTTTAGTGAGAGAAACCAACCTGCGTAAATGCTACCTACCGAGTACTATTTATACTCGTCGAGGCCCCGACCAGGCTCCTAGAATCCAGCTCCACGTCAGCGCGTCATTAAATGCTTGGTACGGCCCAACGGTCGGGCGCCTCCACGTGGCAGCTCCTGGGCTCCTGGCTCCTGGCGCCTGCAGGGACCACCTGTCCAGGTGGCACGCTGTAAGCACGGTGGTCCCTTTTTGTCGCCATGCGCCTGTGGGCCGTTGGCTGGGCCTTACTCCTTGCTTTCATCCCCATCTCCAAAAGCGGGTTTGGGCCTGAGCCTCTTGGACGGGCCCATGTCCCCCAATGGTCTGCCTATGTATATACCCAACACTTATCAAAATACTAAAAATTATTCAAATGTTAACTCCCAGTTAACAATTTCGTTAGTAATATTAACTTGGCAACATGATACTGACTTGGAAGAGACTTATGAGGTCAACAAAATTATTAATGATAACGTAAAACTGGCTAATATTTTGTTACATTATGAAAGATTTGGATAATAAATAAAATTTTAATAAGTTTGAATAATATAAAAGAATCTAAAAAATGTTTGAATAAAAAATAGACATTAGGCCAAGTCCAATGCAAAACCCCAAATTTGGGGATTGTACCTCATTTTCCCTTCTTTTGCTCCAATGCAACAAACTCCATATTTGGGGTTCTTAATATTTCCAGTTTTTCCATTTACTTAAAAATGTACTTATCGTAGCCTTAATATAATTTATTCATGTTAATTTTTGTATAGTTCGTCATCATTTTTTAATACAAATTTTTCGATAGAATTTTGTTAAATTCGAGTCCGAATTTTTTTGACAAAAAATTATGTACCTAATTTGGGTTCACACACAATACTTAAAAATGATTGATATAATTAAATCCCTAACTAATCTCCTAATTAAACTCTCAATTAACCTCAAAAATCTTAAAAAGAAAAAAAAAAGCCACGTGGCGGGCATTGGTGAGCCTCCATATTTGGGGGATCCCCATTTCCACCTCCAAATTTGGAGTTCCATATGCAGGATCCTGCATTTTTGGAGGCCCAAACCTCCCCATTAGACCATCTCCTCCTTCATTTTTGCAGATTCCCCCATAAATATGGTGTCCATTGGACTCAGCCTTACCCGATTTTTTTATTATTATGTATCATCATTCAAATTCGTTTGATACAGTGACTCATTGTGTAGCTAATTCCTAACTGTATCCTCCATCCGTATTCTCCTAACATGCCATAGATAGAACTGTTAATCTTCTAAATAAAGTTTTGACGAAATAAACCCCTAATCATAAAAAGACAACAAAAAAGATGTTGGAGAACTTGTTGAAGTACTGAATGGGCATACACTTAAATTACATGACTCGAATAGTAATAATTTGAAAGTGCCAAGTAGAAGACATCCTAAAAGTTGAGGGGCCAATTGTCTTCTTCCTCACCTCTCTTCCACTCCCACATTTTTTTTCTCGTTTCAACTCATCCTTCGTCCTTAGCAGAAAAACCCCCAAAAGAACCTCCGCCACCTGCAGACTCCAATTCTCCAAACTTCGCCATTTCCAGAGCTCTGTTCTGTTCCCAATTCACAGAGAAAACCCCATCAAACAAACCATGACCCATTTCCCCCTCGCCCTCCTTCTAACCCTCGCCGCCGCCGCTCTCTTCCAAACCCTCCCGCCGGCCGCCGCTCGTCAGAACTACTCAGGACTCCAATCCCTCAATTGCGACGCCTCTGACGAACTCGCCCCGTCCCCAGAGTTTCTCTACACCTGCAACGGCCTCAACCGTTCCTGCCAATCGTTTCTCATCTTCCGGTCCACTCTCGATTACAGCTCCCCCGCCGAAATCGCGGAGCTGACGTCATCCGACCCCGCGAAAATCGCCCAATTCAACGCCGTAGAGGATCCCTCCTCTGTTTTCGATTTGGGTAAAGACGTAATTGTCCCCGTCGCCTGCTCTTGCTCCAGCGACGGCGAGCGGTACTACAGGGCGAACTCGAGCTTCACCCTGACGAGATCCATGGGGACGTACTACGTCGTGGCGACGGATCTGTTCGAAGGGCTGGCAACCTGCGCGGCGATTAAGCGCGGGAACCCATTTCCGGACCGCGAATTGAAGCCAGGGATGACAATCCAAGTCCCCCAACGGTGCGCCTGCCCGTCGGCGGATCAGGTCGCCGGCGGGGTGAATTACTTGCTCACATACCCGATCAGCTCCGACGACAGTGTCTCCGATTTGGCCACGAGGTTCAATGTCATGCCGGAGAGAATAATGGAAGCAAACGGTCTGACCCTAGACTCGAAATTGAGCCCGGGTACCACAATTCTGATTCCGCTCTCTGGGCTTCCCCTGAGCTCAATGAGTAAAGTCCACAGAAGGGTTTCTGAAACTGAAACTCCGTCGGCGCCCGAGGGCCCCGACAGAGCTCCGAAATCGAAGGTGAAAGCACTCGAGCTGGCGGGACTAGCCGCAGCCTGCTTCCTGCTTCTACTCAGCATCGCTGTGGCGGTGGTTTCTGTGATTCAGAGGAAGAGAAGGAAGAAGAGAGACGCCGGCGAGATGAGGAAGGAGAGATTGAAGCAAGATCTCCGAGTCGAGATAGCGAGCTGCGAGCGAGCTCTGAAGGTTTTTGGGATCGACGAGGTTAACAAGGCGACTGGGAATTTCAGCCCTGGAAAGAGAATCAAGGGCTCTGTTTATTCAGGGAAGTTTGGGGAGAAAGTATTGGTGGTGAAGAAGATGAGCAGAGAGATTGATATATCGCAGGAAGTCAACATTCTGATGAAGATTAATCATTTCAATGTGATAAACCTCCATGGAGTTTGCGACGATGGGCAGAGCTTCTATCTGGTTTCTGAGTACATGGAATTTGGATGCCTGAAAGACTGGCTCAAGAGAGGGAGGAAGGGTGGTGGTGGTGGTGGAGAAGAAGGCGGAGTAGGATGGGAGATTAGGGTTCAGATCGGTCTGGATGTTGCCAATGGACTTTACTATCTCCATAACTTCACCAAGCCTGCGTATGTTCATCAGGACATTAAGACGAGCAATGTGCTACTCGACAGTAACCTTAGAGCCAAGATCACGAATTTCAGCCTGGCAAGGTCTGCGGCTAGGGACACTAATGTCACGGTGCATTTGATCGGGACGAGAGGGTACATGGCGCCGGAGTACGTGGAGACCGGGGAGATCACCCCGAAGATAGATGTCTACGCGTTCGGGGTCGTGTTGCTGGAGTTGATCACGGGGAAGGAAGCTGTTTTGGTTGTAGGGAACGGGAAGGAGACTCTACTTTCGACAACAATGGTTTCGCTGGCGGAGAAAGGAGGACTGGAAGATGCTCTAGCTTCGTACATTGATCCTAGTATGAGAGAAACTGGAGTGGAGGTGGTACTACCTTTGCTTAGGTTGAGCTTGGCTTGTTTGAGACGGGAACCTGAGGCTAGGCCTAGCATGGAAGAGGTGGTCTCGAGTCTAGTGAAGATCTTGACGGATTTGAGGAGATCGAAATCACTGGCCGATGATTCGGTTACTGATCAATCGGTGACCCCTCTTCGACGTGCATCCAGAGTTGAGAATGATTGCAGTGTTGAGACTGTTTCATGGTAAATGATCTATTTGATAATGATGTAGATAGAAAGATCAACTAAATTGTGCAAAAGAAGCTTTATATGTTTGTTGTAACTCAAAATTATTTTTCCCAAATGATATCCTCTTTGTTACTAAACTTCATCAGTTTGTAATGATTCATTGTGCAAGCAATAACAAGATTCCAGAAGGAAAGAATAAATAGAATTTGATTATTGAAATATTGCTAATATGCAGAAAAGGCACAGCACTTTCAAATGGGGGGACAATACAACAGAAGGGCATGGTGAAAAAATACTGCACTTCTATGAACCTAAAACTGTCTATTCTACAGACATCAAATTTCTTTCTATGTGCTATGACGCTCTAGTTCGAATCCAAAGCAGTACAAAATGGCTGTGTAAAGGAAGGGGGGAAATGACAGGGGAACTGTTAGAAGAGAGTTCATCAGAAAGGGAACCTCCCAGTCATTTGAATATGTTCAAGAGTTCTTTGAAGCCCGTATTTACGAACGGCCAGCTGACCAGCTCTGAATCCATCTCCATAAACTGGAGAACTGTCTGACTCGATCTGGTGCTTGAAGAACGACCCGAGTTTCTTATCAAACGGAGGCCTTGAATCAGCTCTCGACCCAGTTGATGACGATGATGATTCAAAGTTTAGCTGTGTATCTAACCACATGTGTGCCATGACCTGGCAAATCCCCTCTTCGACGTCTTGACTTAGAGGTTGGTAACCTTGCAGCATAGATAGAATCAACCCATCAGCATCTCCAAGTGAATCACAAACGATTCTTAAAACGCATTTGAATCGAGCATTCGTGTTGTGACATGGATAGGTAAGTACCTTTAAGTCGCATCCATGCATGCATCATCTCATGAGCTAGGATTGATCCAGTAAGCAACCTGTTAGGATTTAGATTTTGGAACGTGCATAAGAACAACATTGCAATATCTAAAACTCCATTGAAAACGGTTCAGGAGAAGTGAAGTTTTTATCCTCAAGATTGACAGTTCCTTGAAGGGGTTTTCCTTTCAAGATTCGGTCCAGGAGAACATATGAAACATTCCCTATTGGTTCTTTTCTTCTCAGCAATCAGCTTTCATATAATTCCTTGCAACACGTAATGCGGCAAGCACAACGGTTAATCTGTGTCATTATTTACCGAGGGCGAGGAGGGTGTTACCTAGGGAGACCGTATAGTATGAGAATGGCAGTGACATCACACCGGCGTATCAGTTTGTAAGGCTCCGTTATCATGTCCATGGGCCGCTGTCCTCCCCCAAACCTCGGTGTCCGTAATACCTGGTCATTCATGATTCATTAAATCAACAGCCAAACAGTTGGTGAACATTAAACTGACAACAACAACAACAACAACAAGCAAGAGTATAAGAAAAATCTTCCTTACTTGGCTGATAGTTTGTTCCTCAGAAAGGCATAGTCCTCTAGTTTCAGGCATGTGATAATGGCCCTGCCATAAAATGAAGATATGACACAGTTCTACTTTCTACAATGGCGATTCAAGAAGTCTTGAAATATTTACACTTACATTCTTTTCTCCCTCCCTTGCTTCATTTAGCGCTTGTCTCTCTACAAGAAGTAAAGGAACATACTGCTCCACCTTCATATTTAAGCTTTCATAAAACTGCTGTATATCCATGTAAAGGGGCTGGCATAGACTGGTATCCATGACTGCAGAATCTAGACACTCCAAACAGAGCTTCCGACCATCATTAAGAGGTACATATCCTGTATCTTGAGGCTGCACGTTAATAGGAATCTTCAGATAAGAAACTGAACATAAAGGTAATGAAAGAAAAGAAAACTGTGTTTTCTCCAATTGATTGAGACTAACCTCCATTCTCTCACAGCTGCAGCATCTTGGAGTATTGTCATGTTCATGAGTGGGGCAATATTTCTGGTTCCAAAAAGGATGAGCCCTATATTCAATAAGTCCGGCCAAGTTGGTTGGAATCTGTCAAAGATACTGGGTCAGAAAGAACGGCGAATGCTGAGCAAAAAATTTGTATGCTAATGCCCACTGCAAAATTTTCAGATATAAACATAAGAAAAATTTCAGATATACTCACAAAGTGCTTGCAGACATCACATTTGGGATGGTACCGGTCCTTGTAGCAAGTTTTGTGATAGGGATAATTTCCTGACATGGAGAACTGTGGAAAATGACATAAATGGTAAAGTTAGGGAATGTGCAACGACTAAAACAACAATGCTTTGTGGACTGCATCTGAAAAAACTTAGGTACTGAAAGCTCACTTCAATGGGACAAAATTTTGCACCTCATAATCAGCTATAGGTAGGTTGCACGCATGGCAGCGGAAGCATTCTGGATGCCAGTATGCATTGAGGCAATGAAGAAATCTCCCAGCACCGATCTCATTATTACAACCAGCACATATCCTAGACAGAGCAACAAAGTTATTGAGCAAAGCCAAACGACAGAATCCACTGACTATAGCAAGTAGGCCATACAACGAGTAATTACCTGAAACCCATTGGGAAATGGACTGGAGCTGGTTGATATACATTTCCTGGATGATATGCATTTGGATTTCGATATTGAGGGGGAGGAGGAGGGGCAGGAGGCGATTCAATATTCAAGCTTTCTTGTAAAGCTCTAGCAAGTTGTTCATCTTCTTGTAACTGACTCTCATCTGCATAATGAGGTCAGCACTTTAGGGGCGAAAAATTATAGTACTCGCTAGAAAAAGTTGAACGAAGAAGGAGATCATTCCTGACTTAGAGGACTGCACTTATAATGAAAACATAGAAAAAGACAACACAACTTACCAATCAAATGTTTTCCCGGTTGACTCTCCTCTAAAAGAGATAGTGCAATAGCACGATCCATTTCTTCGTCTTCCTGCTCCGGCCAGACATCCTACAATCAAATATCAAAATTGGAAAATTGTCAAATGCAAGAGATGAAGTCAGGAGTGATTTGCAGATGTCTGTGCACACATTTCAACAATATCATGAGAGCACGTAGAAACATCAGAACATAGGACTTGAATCTTGATGCATAATCCACAACAATATAAGAAACTGAAATTCAGACAGTAGAATACACTGACGTATGACGTTGAACAGGAATCAATTCATACCCCTGAAGCAGATGGTGCATAGACATTAGGCTTCTCTTCATAATTCTCATGATAGTGCCCTTCGGAAATGTTATGATCGGAGCCTTTAAAGATCTTGCTAAGCCAACCCATAATGCGAGTTGCTACCTGCTCATGATCAATGAAGCTTTTACCTGCTCATGATCAAACAGAAAGAATAATTACACACATTGTGGACAACCAACTTATAGAGAAGGAAATTCAAAGCTCCAACTGCAATTCCATTCTATGGCTTTCAAAGCTACAACAAGTAAACAGAAATTATGAACAGAACTTAAGTAAGAAAGCAATCAAACACCACCAACCAGGCATCATTTAGGAGAAGTTGTATTATTCGTCTCTACGCAGCAAAATGTGTCATATAAACATAAACAATCCTCGACCCTCCAGCTAATATAAGGAGGAGCAGAGACAGAGAGAGACACAGAGCAGAAAGATTCTTACAGGTCACCATGTCCTTAACATTCAAGACACCAAACCTCATAGATTTTGAAGGGGCAAAAGTGGGGGAAAAGAAGACTCAACAGAATCAAAACAGCGGAGAAATGACTCACCTCTAACGCGTCAGAAATTCTGAAAGGAAGTAACTGGTGGCAGGAAGACGACGTCAATTCGGTGAGATTGTTAGATCCCAATCAAGTTCTCGCACAAACCCAGAGAGCAAAAGGGGGAAAAGCTTCAAATTTTGAAGTCTCTTTTGCAGGGAAAGAAAGGAAGATGGCCGCTTTCCGCACTCCCCCCAACCCCTTTACCTTTCTCGGCCTCCTCTTTTTGTGTATAATTTATAATGAACTGAACCAATGAACAATCCAATCAAAACAAACAAACCCCCCAATACCCAGAAAGAAAAAAATCGGGAAAGCTTGGTAAAAGCCCAAAACTGATCGAAAGAAGAGGAAGAAATCGGAAGACAGCAATGGCGCTGAAGGTATGAACACAACACAGAGCAACTTGGACTTGAATTGTACGCCAGCAAAAAGGGAAGAACTTTCTTTCAAAAAAAGTCAAGAAATTGGACAAGTAAACGCGAAATGGGTATTGGTTGGGAGGGTTTTGTTTAATCCTCGATTTTTTATAATCGATTAAACAAACCATTCGACTAAAAACCAAAAAGGGAATTTGGGGTTTTGCAGTTTTACGGATTCATTTCATCGAAGAAACCAATCCCGAAACATTTCAATGTGGATTAGGTTTACTCTCTTTTTTCCTCACATTGAAATTAACTATGATAACAATTGGGTCATTTCTTGCAAATTCCTTCGCTTCCCCAAGCATTGGAGGGGAGGGAGGGAGGTAGGGGTGGGCATTCGGTACGAAATCAAAATTATGCATATCATGTCTTTGAATTTCACTAAATATCAAATCGAATTCGAACTGATTTATAATTTTGGTTCAGTCGGTCTAAACCGATATAATTCGGTTCGGTTTAGAATTTCACACAATATCGAATTTGTGAGGTTTTTTGTATATTCTTCTTTTTAAATTATTTTTAACCCCTAATGTAAACAATTATATACATCATCAGTGATAAAATCTAACATTTCAACACATACGTCATAAAAGCACAAACATGATTCAAAAATTGAAGTCCCAAAACAAGTACAAACATAAAAATAAAACCATTTGGAGCTTGCATTTATAATAATTTGGGTTTTCGGTCAGAAATTCGATTCGATTGAAAGAATCTTAGTTTCAGAAATATCCATATATTCCTTCCGAATTTTGAACTGAATAGTATAATTTCGGGTTCAGTTTACCAAATCGGTTGCCCACCCCTAGAGGCAGGGAGGGGAAGAAAGAATCTGCTTAGGGAGGAAAGCAGAAGGAAAGATATTGAGAGAGAAATTCTCTAGAAAAGGGGTGAATTGCAAGTTTGGTCACCTATATTATATATTTTTAACACTTTAGCGACCCGAATTACTCTCCTTTCAATTTGGCCACCAATATAACACGTTTATGTCATTTTTGGCTGTTTAGTTCCGCTAATTCTGTCATGTGTGGCGGTCAACAGTGTTATGTTTGACTGTGTTAAAATAATGAAGTATCAATTAATAATAAACACAGGGACTTGGAGACAGTTGAGAAAGGATCCCCATGGATTTTCCCCAAGTTCATGCTTGTGGTACGCTCGGGGGTTTCTCCATCCCAAGAGGTTGCCGATTCACTGCTGCGGGCGCCACTGGAGGTCCAGCTTTGGGGTGTGCCATTTGAATGCTTCGCTGCAAATATGGCACGACGTCTGGGCTGTGCTTTAGGAGAGACGACTCTGCCAACCCTCCACCGGTCGGATGTGTCGGGTGGCCTCTATGTGCGAGCGATACCGGTGTTTGACCTGACGGCACCCCTCCCCGACGAGATTGTGGCTGGGCATGTTACACCATCCAAAGTTAATTTCGTGGCCAAGGTTAAATTTGAACAGTTACCTGTGTTCTGTTTCCTTTGTGGGATTATAGGGCATATCGGGGCCAACTGCCCCCGCAAGGCTGAACTGGAAGGCTCTCCTCCACGATATGGGCAGTTCACCGTTTCCATGGAATCGGGGCCTGAGGTTACTGAGGATATGCTGTCCCGTCGGAAGAAACGGTTTACCTGGCTGCGGGCGATGTCGCAACGGCCTACTGCTACTGCAAGGGGAGGTGGTTTTCGGCTGCCTCGGTTGCAATCTGCTGGGGGTGGTTTGTTGACCACGGGAGGTGCACACGTCGATACTGCGTGGGAAGATACGCGCCGGCCAGGTCCTGGTCGGGTTGGGGAGAAACTTCACTTACTCTCTCTGACGGCGGAGCCATCTCATGGGGCTGTGGAACAGGGAAAGGATGCTGACATGGAGGAAGGCCATCTTGATATGGATGGCAGCCCTGCGTCTTCCCCTACAGCAAAAAGAGTTAAGAGGGATAACAAATTGTTGGACATAACTGCAAGGGTGGAGGCAACCAGCCCCGACTGGTCCCGTGGTGCCCCATGAGTGTTCTCGCTTGGAATTATCGGGGAATCGGCTCCTCTCTGACAATTCCAACGCTTGGGGGAGCTACGGGTCGGTTTCGGCCCCATGTCGTATTTCTTAGTGAAACCAGACGTGATGAAGAGTTTGTTCGTGGCAAGATGGCAAGTTTGGGGTTCCACAATTGTAGGTGTCATAGTTCTGAAAGTGGGAGAGGGGATATGGCTGTTGCCTGGTCTCACAACACCATTTGTACAGTGCTCTTCATGTCTAGTTTCCTATGTGTCCTTGAATGTACAGTAGTAGGTGTAGGTTCGTTTGTTTTGTTCTTTGTGCATTTGTCGTGTGATGTTCCTACTAGGCAGGAACAACTTAATGAAATGTCCTCTTTGGTTTTGTCGTTCTCGCTTCCGATGCTTATTCTGGGTGATTTCAACTGTCTTTTGTCCATAGATGAAAAGCGTGGCGGTAATGTCCCGTCTGTGGCAGACTTAGATCAGTTAAATGTGTTTGTGAACGCAACAGGTTTGGTGGACTTCGGATATCATGGATCACCATTCACCTGGTCTAATCGGCGGTCGGCTTCGGCTCATATCTTGTCCCGCCTGGATAGATGCCTAGGGACTACTTCTGTTTTTTTCTTCCTGGCCTGAACTCAAGGTAATTCATCTTACGGATTTGGGGTCTGATCATCGAATGTTGTTAGTGCAGCTCACTTCACAGGATCGGCCCGCCAAGACTCGGTTTCACTATGATGGGCGTTGGGATACAAATCAAGAGGCTGTGGATATCATCCGATAGGCATGGGCTACGACAACGCATGACACCCTTCAGTTCCGCGCGTTCACCCAACTCAAGTCCGTTCAGCATGCTTTGGTGGAGTGGGCACAGGTTGGTACTTCCAATTCTGCCCGGTCGATTCGGGAGTATAAACAGGCCATAGAAGAGGCTCGGGAGACGGATATGGTGGATTGGGAGCACATTAAACAGCTGGAAACAGAGCTGGCCGAGGCCTATAAACAAGAAGAACTTTTCTGGTTGCAAAAATAGAGGGTAGGATGGCTGCAAGGGGGCGATGCGAACACTCGGCTCTTCCACTTGGCCACCCTCCAAAGACGGCGCAATAACCGAATCGAGGGTCTCCGAGATACGGAGGGAGAATTGCAGCATTCAATGGATGGGATGGCAGGTATCTCAATTCCGTATTTTCAAATCCTCTTCACCTCTAATCACATTGATCCCACGGCTTATGTGCAGAATTTGCGATTGCCTAGGAAGGTTACGGCTGCTATGAATATTTCCTTGACCGCTCCAGTTACTTTTGCTGAGATTAAAAACGCAGTCTTTAGCATTGGGCGTTTCCAAGCGCCAGGTTCCGATGGTTTTTCTGCAGGGTTCTTCCAGGCGCATTGGGACATCATTGGGCGAGACATAAGTGCGGCGGTGCTGTCCTTCTTTGCTTCAGGCAGGTTGCTGCAGAGCTTCAATCACACCTGCATTACTCTCCTTCCTAAAGTACCAAATGCAGACACGATGCGTCAACTTCGGCCAATCAGTCTGTGTCAGGTTTTCTATAAAATCATTGCTAAAATTCTTACTGGTAGACTAAGTGCGATTCTGCCTAACTTAGTCAGTTTGAACCAGAATGGTTTTGTGCGTGGTCGTTGTATAACTGACAATATTCTAATTGGTCAAGAGGTTATGCATTTTCTTAAAACAAAGGTACAGGGTCAGGAGAAATGGATGGCCTTAAAACTTGACATGGAGAAAGCTTACGACCGTGTAGAGTGGTCTTTTCTTCTCACAATTCTGCAGGAATTTGGGTTCTGCCCGACCTGGCTTAGGTGGATCAAAACCTGTATCTCGACAGTTAGCTTTTCCATCAATATTAATGGAGGGACATATGGGTACTTTAAACCGGAACGGGGCATTCGTCAAGGTGACCCTCTCTCTCCTTTGCTGTTTGCTTTATATACTGAGGCCTTTACGGCCAAAATTATGCATGAGCTTCATTCTAACAGCCTACATGGGTTGAGGATTCATCGTAGGGACCCTGTTACTTCGCATTTAATGTTTGCCGATGATACATACTTGTTCCTTCGTGCATCTATCCCTGAATGTGCTCACCTTTTACATATTTTTGAGGAGTATGGCCTAGTGAGTGGGCAACAGATTAATTTGCAGAAATCCACCATATGTACTAGTGCTAATGTAAGTGAACAGGAGAGAGCAAGCTTGGCAGCATTTCTTGGGGTGTCGGTGGCAGGCCTGCAGGACAAATACTTGGGATTACCTGTCCAGATACGACGGTCTAAGACCAGGACATTTCAGTTCTTGGAAGAGGTATTGGCTGCCCGTATTCTCTTATGGAAGACGAAGTCGATGTCGTTGGCTGCCAAAGAAGTAGTGATCAAGTCAGCCGGGTCTGCCTCAACAATTTATGCCATGTCAGCATTCCGTATTCCGGCTACGTCCTGTCGCAGGATGAACAGTCAACTAGCACGGTTTTGGTGGGCTGACCAGGACAAAGAGAAGGGCATCCATTGGTTAGTCTGACCTGAAGTATGTCACAGTAAGTTTGAGGGAGGGCTGGGTTTTAGGGATTTTGATCGCATTAACATCGCATTACTAGCGAAACAGGCTTCGTTGCTGCTGCGATTCCCCGACTCCATGATTGCGTCGCTTTACAAGGCTAGATACCATCACTCTTCGACTATTATCTCTGCTCGGGAGGGTTCTCGTGCGTCGTGGGCATGGCAAGGGTTGCTCGAGGGCCGGGACTTGTTGGTTCGTGGGCTGCGGTGGAGGATTGGGAATGGGGCAACAGTCAACATCCTAACAGATAAGTGGCTCCCATCTTCCCCCCCCCCCCCCCCCCCCCATCCTCTCCCTTACTGCTACCTAATGTCTCCCTTCCCTTCACTTTTGTGTCTCAATTAATTTGCCCTCTGACACATGCTTGGAAAATTGACATTTTACATAGCTTGTTTACAGTGGAGTCTGTTACATTGATCTTGTCTATCCCATTACCTTCACTGCTTGTTCCGGATAAACTAGTATGGCACTACTCTACGACAGGGAAATACACGGTCAAGACGGGATATCAGCTCCTATCGGGGGAGTTGAACAGATCGCATCTGCCAAGAGACTTGCCTTATGATAAACAATTCTGGAAGTTCCTTTGGCAGCTGCCGATACCGCCGAAGCTCCGTGTGTTTTGTTGGAGGATTGCCAGGGGTTTCTTGCCGGTTCGTGCTGTTTTACATGTGAAGAGGTTAGTAGACGACAATACATGTCCCGTATGTTCCAATGGCAGTGAAAGCATCATGCACTCTTTCCTTCATTGCCGAGTTGCCGTGGAGCTATGGGAGCGTGCTGGATTGGGCCTTCTGCGTGTAAGGTTATCCTCCCTTTCTCACTCTGAATGTTGGCGGGTCTTATTTTTTGAGTGTCGCCTTAACAAAAATGAGGTTGCTAATGTTATATTTTTATGTTGGCGAGTGTGGAAATCGAGATGTTCGACGGTTCATAAAGGGATTCAGTACCTGGGTTCGACGTTACTTCGGCAATTTCGGGCTCAGGTGGATGAATGGCGTGCTGCCTCAGAACCTCTTGTGTCGCACCAATGCCCCCGCAATCGAGACCACCAGGGACGACAACTTGCGTCAGGCAGGCAATCCGGTCGCGACAGGGAGTGTCCTCCGGGAGGAGTACTGGTGCGGGTGGATGGAGCATGGAGACAAGGCGCAGGGGGTGGCATCGGCTTTGTGGGCTTCTCGATGAATGGCGACATGCTATTTGCATTTGGTAAACACTATCCAGGTATCGATGATCATTTCCTCATGGAGCTATTAGCACTTCGTGATGCAATAAATTGGTGTCTGATGCATGGCTTTCTGGTTGCAAATTTCTGCGGGGATTGTCAAACTTTGGTGCGAGCTGTTCGGGAACGGGATGTTGCACATGGTCGGGGAGGGGCGATTATGGAGGAGATACGCGTGGCGGTGTCCTCGTTTGATATGTTCTCTTGTTCTTTTACTACTCGCAGGTTTAACAGGGCTGCCCATCTAGTGGCCCAACATGCCCTTTTATCGGCAGTTCGACTATTTGTCGACTGGTGCGTTTGGTTGTGTGGTGTTCTCTGACTTTTTATAATCTATCTATGCAAAAAAAATAAAAAAAAATAAATAATCATTTTTTAATTCAATGTCATACGATAATTTAATAAATATTTATTTTCCACAAAAAATTTTAAATTTATTAAAATCCCGTCGACGGTTCTGATGCATCCCTAATCTCACCAAGCGCGCAGAGCCATCACTGCCGGCCGCAATAGAGCCGCCTTCTCCACGGGTCCTCGTCTGCGATTCCATATTTCCATTCCCTAATCTGATCTGAACATCACCGCCCCGACCGCGAAGCTCGACTCCTTCTTCTTCTCTCTCTTCTGCCTCTCTTTCTCCTTCTCCTTCTCCGCCTTCTCTTCCTCTTCCCTCGCCATCCCCTGCTGCTGGTTGTCGAGGGTGACAATGAAATCGTTGAGAATGTCGGCCAAGAAATCATCCTCGTGGTTCGAGAACCCGAGCCCCTGGAACAGATCGTGGTGGTTTGAGGACTCGGTCGCAGCCGGAGTGGCGCCGCCGTGGGACTGCTCGATCTAATAGGCGTCGGAGTTGTTGTCCGTCTTCGTCGTCTCTGTGACGGTTCCATGTACATCATTTTTGTTGCCTGCCGAGACACCATTGGCCATTGCAATTGTTGTGGTGGCCGCGGAAATCCAATGGCGACGTCGCAGCGGAAGCCGCATATATATCTAGGCTGCGGGAGCATACCCACCATAGCGGAGAGAGATCAGATAAGGGGAATGGAATCGCAGACGCCAACTTTTTTTTTTAGGCCGGCGATGATGGCTCCGCGCTCTTGGTGAGATCGGCGATGCATCAGAACCGCGGCGGGGTTTTAATAAATTGTATATTATTTTTTATGAAAAATAAATATTTATTAAATTTTTGTATGACATGGAATTAAAAATAAAATTTTAGGGTAAATAAAATTTAATATCCAAACCTTTCATTTTAAACAATATAATAGCCAAACCTTTTCGAAAACAATCTAATATCCAAATCGTCAACTTTTCGTCAGTTTGACCGTGAGTTGACACTTCAAAAAAGCTTTGTTTAGGGGAAATTGTCACAATATAGCTTTGTTTTCTTGTTTTGGCATTGCAGATGACTGAATATTTAGATATTCTATACCATCATGGTGGAGTCATGGACTTCTCGGGTTTGGAACCACGATATGTTGGTGGTTTTTCAGAGAAGATATCGATGGATATTGATGAATTGTCGGACTTCGAACTTGATGAAGTGTCAACAAACAGTCAAACGGACAGAAAGTTGACAATTCGGATATTAGATTGTTTTCGAAAAGGTTTTGTTATTATATTGTTTAAAATGAAAGGTTTGGATCTTAAATTGTATTTACCCAAAATTTTATTTATTTTTTAATTAACACATCATCATTTTAACAGTCAAACATAACTGTTGACTGCCACATAGGACATAATTAATGGAACAAGACGGCGAGTGATCAAAGATTACATAAACATGTATATCAATGGCCAAATTGAAAGAAAAGTTAATCGGGTGGCTAAAGTGTTACAAATAGGTAATATGGGTGACCAAACTTTGCAATTCACCATCCATAAAAGAGAAAAGGGTTGAAAGAATTATATTAGTAGACTTATTATCCCCCCCCTCCCCCGGTGTGCAATATTTGGCAATTGAGTTGAGTTGAACATATTTTTAGTAAAGTACAATCAAAGACTAGTACAAGAACCAAAGTCTTTCAAATTTCAACCGAATCTAATAAGTTGTTTTTTCTTCTTCTTTTTCTCCCCGATAATTATCGACTTTTATTAAGCAATGCCTGATAAAACAAGGCCCGCAAAAAACTCAAGAGCAAAGCTTTACAGTTCTGAGTACAAAACCATCAGAACAACTACCAAGTTACTAACTTGAATACAACAGACTACATAAATGAGGATTTTTCCTAACTTCTGCCTGAAACACAAGATTACCGAAAGCGTAAAATTGAAGTCTTTTGTCAATTGACGCACCAGTGCTCTGGTTTCCCGCTGACTTCCCTAGAAAATTCAAGTGCGTTCCTAATAGAAACACGTTTCCTTTAGAAACGAGTGTCTATCCTTATTAGTATTATTACCATTATTAGGGAATCTTATTAATATGGTTAGTAGTATTTTAGTAGAATTAGGATTAATATTAGGGTTTATTCCCTATAAATATGTACTTGTCGTTCATTCATAATCAAGCAATAACATTTATTCAGAAAGTATCTCGCAGAACCCTAATCTTCTATCCCCTAATTTCTCGATCTCTATCCCTCTAAGGCTTCGGCCGATTCTACCTTTATATCCTTCTTCTTCTTCCCCAAATTCCAAATCTTAATCCCTATTTCTATCTTCTAATCCCTAAATCCCAATTCTCTTCTACAATCCATAAAATCTCAAATGTCGATCCAAACCGCGAACCTGTTAGAAACTATGTTTCTAACAATTGGTATCAGAGCTCTGATTGCGAATCTGAGTTCATCACAACTCTCCACCGGGGACGAGTTCTATCATCTTTTCAATAAGATGCATAGGAGGATTGAAGCCTTCAATGCAAGACACGAGGCGTATCAACAACTATTGAAGGGAAAAATTCAAGCTATATGGGATAACTTGCAAGTCAACATTGTCAAGTCACCAGCCATGTCCGTCGACGCCAAGGTGAGAAGGATGGAGAGGAAATCGACGCCGGGCCGCATCACGAATTGGTGATTTCGGAAGAAATCGAGGACTGACGAGTCGACCATCACCACCACCTCGCCCGCATCATTGGACGTCGTGGTGACGCCGCCAGAAAGAGTAAAGACGGAGACAATGAGAGGCGAGCTTGAGGAGGCGGATCCAATGGCGGGTCGAGTTTGTCTCTCCCTCACCTGAGGAGACCATCATCACGGAGAATGAGACCAAGAAGAAGATGTCGCTGAGCCTGGACATGAAGACAGGGAAAGAACCAGTCGCGGAGACTCCGGGCATGCGATTGGAAAGTCCTGGCATTAACCAAGGATGCAGGATGGAGGCGACGACTGGTGGTTGGGTTGTGTTGCCAAATACGCGAGCAATACAAGAGGAGCTACGAGCGTCGGTGGTGACCTGGGAGACGATGCGGGTGGCCTCACCTAGGTCACGAATCGTGCAAAGGGATCCAAAATCGATGACCCCATTGGTGTCGATGTCGGGCAGGAATAGGGATCTGAGTTGCAGAACTTCTCCGTCAACACCGCGAGTCGCGAAGGAGACATGGCGATTGATGGCGACTCCCGGGCGAGCGACGACGGACAGGCGGACAGCGCAGCTGCACGGCAAAATGGAACCCGAACTAGTTGGTCACCCGGGGCCGGCAGAAAAAAGAGGAAGATGACGGCGTCTTCGACCGAGGAGGAGGCGTCGGTAGCAGGTCAGACATCCCGTCGGCAGAATTGCTCGCCGCCATGGAAATAGAAGAAGGAGATGAATGAGGACGACAGTGGCGCCTCTTCTTCCTTAGTGACGACAAGCGATGAGGAATCAAAGGAGAAGTCGGAGGGCAAGTCATCGTCGGGGTACGAGGCAGAGCTGAATGTGGCGGCGCGGTTGACAGAAGCTTCTCTAGCGGCTTTGATCATCGGGGAGGCGACCTTGGAGAAGAAACCTCTGCCAGAAGACGAGACGGAGTGGAAGGCGACAGTGGATTCGCGCTGGCCATAGTGCCGTCGGATGGGGTGCGGGCCGCTGGGAAAAGGAGTGAGGCAGAAGAAGACGGAGGAGGGCGGCGTTCCTCACCTTCTCATGAACCCTAGGCAGCAACTCATCTCGTTGGGCCAGACGGGCGGCTCTTCTGACGGGTTACAACCAGGGCTGGTGAAGGATGGGCTCGCGTGGGGTGGAGTAGATAGAGGCAAGCTGGGAGTTGGGCCAATTCGTTTGGGCCGAGCTCAGTGGAACCATCCAAGCGAGCATGTCTTGAATGAAGGTGGGCCGAACCAGACTTTCGCCACGGGCTAGTCTGGAAGGAGGAATTTGTTGGGCTAATTATGAGTCATTTTAATCAGCATACTCTACCAATTATAGGGTCTCAACTTAGAAAGCAGTGGGCAGAGAACAAGTTGGGCTACGGGCCGAACAAGAAGGAAGTAAGCTAGTTGTATGGAAGCTATGGGCCGGGGTACAAGAGAATACTTGGGCCTCCGTTGGGCTGTCTGCTTAGTTCTCTTTTGTATGGAGAAAGTTTGTAAGAAAAGAAAGAAAGAAACAAAATGGGCTTAGCTAATGGGCTTTACAAGGATCTTAGCTCAAACGGAAATGAAAAAAAGAAGAGTACAATGAGGCTTAAGATTGGTTTGGGCTCTAACTCCTTCTTCCAAGAAGATGGGAGCCTAGCTCAAGGTGAAGGAAGAGAAGGTGGGGAAAAGTTATGAGTTGTTTTCACAATCAAGCCCATGGAGGAATTTATGAAGCATATCTTAAAAGATCTCAAGCTGGAGCACGAGGAAGAAGCATTTTCTGATTCATACTTTGTGAAGTTTGAAAAGGAGGATCGAGGGTTATTTGGCCATGGTAGTGACCCGAGCCACGTGGTTAGAGAAGAACCACTAGAAGTCAGAGTCGTTGGTGTTGGATTCGTTTGTACTCTAGAACCGAATTGGAAGAAAAGAAAATGAAGGAAGTAGAGAAGTCGGCGCGGGGGCGACACTAGAGAGGCGGAGGAGTGGGTCGAGCCGGTCAACCTTGAGGGCAAGGTTGGTCTCAAGGAGGAGGGTATGATAGAAACGTGTTTCCTTTGGAAACGAGTGTCTATCCTTATTAGTATTATTATCATTATTAGGGAATCTTATTAATATGGTTAGTAGTATTTTAGTAGAATTAGGATTAATGTTAGGGTATATTTCCTATAAATATGTACTTGTCGTTCATTCATTATCAAGCAAGAACAATTATTCAGAAAGTATCTCCCAAAATCCTAATCCTCTATCCCCTAATTTCTCAATCTCTATCCCACTAAGGCTTCGGTCGATTCTACCTTTCTATTCTTCTTCTTCGCCAAATTCCAAATCTCAACCCCTATTTCTATCTTCTAATCACTAAATCCCCAATTCTCTTCTACAATCCCTAAAATCCCAAATGTCGATTTAAACCGCGAACCCGTTAGAAATATAGTTTCTAACAGTTCCTCCAAATAGTACTAACACACCAACTCCAAACAACTCCAAGAACAAGCCCTCTGCTTATCCAATTAAGAAGAGCTTCCCACGAGTTTGGCCAGTGAGTTGAGCCAAATACTGCTGCAAAAACCTGAAGAGAAAAATAGCAGTTGCAGAACAAGTGAGATCTGGTTTCCTTTTCAGCTTGGCATAGCACACACAATGAGTCTGTGATCCTCCCCCATTGCTTGAGCTTGTCTCTTGTGAAAATTCTGTTCAGTATAATTAACCAAAAATTACACGATGTCTAGGGATCATGAATTTGTTCCATATGATCTTCCACGAATCAACCTTTGGCTTCCTTTAACAAATTGATGTCCATACCTGCTGTACAGAGAATCTAGACATTAACTTCCCTTCCCGAGATACCTCTCCATCTGCAGTGACAGCAAAACAAAACTGGAACCATCCTCTAGAAGCAAGTAGCTTTCTCCAATTCCATGAGCCTATCTGAGAGGGAGGGATGCCATCTCCCTTTCAGCCTGTGCTGCAGAATCCATGCCACCCAAAAACTACCACGCTTCATCCAGATTAGCCACAGAAATCTTGCTACACATGCCATGTTTCAGCTACTTAGATCCTTAATTCCCATGCCTCCTTCATTCTTAGGGAGAGCAATAAATTCCCAGGCAACCTTGGCACGCCCTGATCCCTCACCAAACCGAAGAAAACCTAAACATATCTTGTGAATTTGGTCTAATATCTTCTTCGGCAAGAGCGGATATCCTGCATAAGAGAGTTTGTTTGCATGCCAAGAGCGGATTCGGCTTGTTAGCTTATCCACCATAACTGCACACTCTCGACTAGATAGCATCCCTACAACTAGTGGTAATCCAAGGTATCTAACTGGCAGTTTACCTTCAACAAATTCAGAGAGAGCAATAGCATTGGCCTTGAATGATGTGTTATTCCTCCAAAGAACACTTCCCATTTTTTCGGGTTGCAACTCAACCCTGAGATAAGATAGAACTCATTCAGCAGTTTATTTACTTGAAGCAATGCAGTTGCAGACCCCTCAGTGAAGATCAATAGATCATCAGCAAAGCAGAGGTCAGTGAGATCTATTGACCTACACTGAGGGTGATAAGGAATCTGCCTTGAACTTGCAGCAAAGTCTAACATACCCGATAGTGGTTCCACAGCTAAGGTAAAGAGATAAGGGGAAAGGGGGTCGCCGTCTGGTTCATTTCTTAGCTTGCAAGAAACCAAATAATGATCCATAAAGACTTATGTTGAAGTAAGTTGCGCTAAGACATACTTTTATCCATTCAATGAATTCTACTGGAAAATTTATCAACCTCATCACACAGAATAAGTACTCCCAGTTTACAGAATCAAATGCCTTGTGTAAGTCTATCTTAACAACACAACGAGAAGCTATTGTAGTTTTATTATAATTCTGCACTATCTCTTGAGCCATGAGTATATTATCCAGAATACTCCTTCACTTAATGAAAGCAGACTGATTCCTACTTATCACCTTAGGCAGAGCAATCTGAATTATATTAGCTAACACCTTAGCTATGATATTGTATAACACATTAATACATGCAACATGCCTAAAAGCTGTCAACCTATATGCATTTAGAGTTTTTGGTGCAAGAGTGAGAGAGGCAGTGTTAATACCTCGAGGTAGTGATGTTTTTTTAGCCATCCAATCTAATAGGATATGAGAATATTAGGATGTTAATACTCAATTTGGTAATATGGTGTTAAATGAGTACGCTTGGCATTACTAAAAATTGGAGGACACACGCATGTGTTGTACATTAATTCCGTCTCGCCACAAGTATCACGAAACATACCACAAGACACACACGAGAAACACAACAAACCACACCACAAATACCAGAAAGTTTATAAAGTATACCAAAACCTCGCCACATCACAAAATTCATAAAATATACCAGAACGCTTATAAAGCATAGCAGAACCTTACCGCACCAAAAAATTCATAAACCACACCACAAATACCATGCAATTTCTAAAGCATACAAGCACATCACCACACTACAAAATTCCTAAAAAAAGACCACAATTTTCTTAAAGCATATCACAACTTTCTTAAAGTAGGTCAAAAAACTCATAAACTTGGACCTATTTATAAATTTTTTAAAATTTATGTATCAAAATGTAAAGACATAAAATTTGTATGGAAGAGATTGGGGGTAGGGATGGCAATGAGTCTGTTTGGGTCGGGTTTTGCCAAACCCAAACCCAAACCTATGGGTTTATCCATGAAAAAAACCCGGGGTAAAACCCACTGGGTTTGAAAAACTCAAACCCAACCCAACCCGCTGGGTATCCGCATGTTCATGGGTACCCACGGGTTTTTGTCATAAAAATTCACAATAACAAGTTCCTATCAAAATTAAAGTCAAATATCAATCTCTCAATACAAATTATCCATATATAAAACACCATTCTAGAAAATTCAAGCAAATTACAAATTAACTATACAAATTGTTCAACACCAATCTAGAAAACTCAAGAAAATTGAAGCAAATCACAAATTATCCATAAATAACATGATTAATTGAAAGGAAGAAGCTTTCAATTAAGTTTTTCACTCTCCACTCGATAACATCAAATTCATTCTACACAACTCAAAAGAAAAAATTAGACATGTCTCCACAAACATAAATAAGATTAGTTGTTTAGAATATTAAATATGCCGAGAAAATTAATTATATGGGTGTGAGCGGGTACCCATGGGCCGGGTTTACCTAAACCCAAACTCAACCCGATGAATAGTGAACGGGTTTAAACCCAAACCCGACCCAAAACCCGTCAACACGGATTTTATCCGCGTTGACCGGATTGTGTCGGATGGGTACCCGTGGGTTCGGGTTTTGTTGCCATCCCTAATTGGGGGTGGATGGTGATGTATTGAGTAGGAACTTGTTGGAATTTGACGGGTCGTCAATGCTCTGCATTCACTCTTTAGAGGTTTGACCTCTAGATGTTTGTTAAATTGCATGAATTACTATCTTTTCGGTGAATGAAGAAAATTACATTAGATTCGTACATCTAATATTTATTGTTTTGCTGGTTGGATTCCTTTTCTTGAGTTGAACTTTTGATTCAAGATATGAAAGTACATATTTTATATGTGAAAGATCAATGTAGATAGTCTCGTAATTATCATGACTGCTTATCTTTATATATGGAATCAACTGTATGAAAATTAAGAATATGATTTTTTATTGACTTTTGAGTGGTCTGAGTTTATATTAAATACCATCGTAGCATGACTACCTTCTAATTGAAGAAACTCAACTTGTGAGGACTGAGGATATGGTTTATGTGAAGAAGCCCTAAAAAGCAAAGATTAGTTGTTTTTTTTTTTTTGTGAAAATAGATTAGTTGCTTTAGTATAAGAAAACAAATTTATAGTAGCTTAATAAAAATAAATCCATTTATTATAAGATTATTTTAGACATGTTTAGTTATCTGAACAAAAAGTTCCTTCAATTGATTGAATATCTCATTGTTTGTTGATTTATACTTTTTTCACTTTTTTTGCGTTATGCTCAAGTCTTTTGTTTTAGTCGTTTTGGTTCCCAACGTTATCGATCTGATAAGGTTCTTGTAGCTAGTTAGTTTGTATTTCTATTTACCCTTTACTTTTATTGTTAGATAATTATAGTCCACGGTCAATTATCACTTATGTTTCGCTGGATTATCATATTGGTGGTTAAGTTTTACTTTAAATAGGATATATGTAAGAGATCTGATTAGGGTATGATTTTTTATAATTATAAATTAATTAATTATTTCTTAATAACGATGTATATATAAGAT